CAGGACAGTGGTGGGGACAGTGGGACAGTGGGACAGTAGAGGGCCGGTAGTGGTGGGGACAGTGGTGGGGACAATGGTGGGAACAGGGGGGACAGTGGACAGTGGTGGGGACGGTGGTGGTGGGGACAGTGGTGTGGGCACAGTGGGAATGAGGTGGAAACAGTGGGACAGTGGAGGGTACAATGTTGGTGGGGACAGTGGTGAAGGCGGTGGCGAGGACGGCGGTGGGACAATGGGACAGAGGTACAGTGGGGACAGTGGTGGGGACAGTGGGGACAGTGGTGGGCACAGTGGGACAGCTCAGTGGGACAGCGTCGGAGTCAGTGGGACAGTGGGGACAGTGGGGATAGTCGGGCAGTGGTTGGGGCCGTGGAGACAGTGGGGAGAGTGGAACCGTGGTGGGAACAGTGGTGGGAACAGTGGGGACAGTGCGACAGTGGTGGGGGCACTGGTGGGGACACAGTGGGGACAGTGGTGGTGAGGACAGTGGCGCAGGGAACAACAGTGGAGGATGCGATGCGGACGGTGGTAGGGACCGGGAGTCGTTTGCTGCGGTAGCGTAGGTTGGGGAGGGTTCGAACCAGTAGTGATCCCCTTCGGTTTTCGGAGGGCCCCGGTTTTCGGAGGGGTGGGGTGTTCGAACCGGTATTTACCGCCCCCGGTTTTCCGAATCCGGTAGGGAGTTGGGGGGGAGGGTTTCGAACCGTTAGTGACCCCCCCGGTTTTCGAGGGGAGGGGGGGGGGGAGGGGTAGGGGAGGGGGGGTTTTGCCCGTTGGAGGGGGGGGGGGAGGGGTTCCAGCAGGGGGGGGGATTTTCGGAGGGAGGGGGGGGCGACCCCCGGGCTCCGGAGGAAAAGGTTGGCAATTTTCCACAGTAAAGCGGCGGTGGATCACGCTCTCTCGATGATGATGATGATGATGATGATGATGATGATGATGATGATGATGATGATGATGGTGGTGGTGGTGGTGGTGGTGGTGGTGGTGATGATGATGATGATGATGATGATGATGATGATGATGATGATGCTGAGGATGATGATGATGATGGTGGTGATGATGATGATGGTGATGATGATGATGATGAGGTGGTGGTAGTGACTGGTGGTGGTTGTTATGGTTGTGGTGGTAATGACGACGACGGCGATGACTATGACGCTGACGATGCAGCTGTTGGTGATGATGCTGACAAGGATGATGAGGAAGGATGAGGAGGGATGATGAAGATGATGATGTTGGTGATGACGATGATGATGGTGATGGTAATGACGATGATGATGATGATGATGATGATGATGATGATGATGATGATGATGATGATGATGCTGATGATGATGATGATGATGATGATGATGATGATGCTGATGCTGATGCTGATGCTGATGCTGCTGCTGCTGCTGATGATGATGATGATGATGATGATAATGATGAAGCTGATGATGATGTTGATGATGCTGATGATGATGACGATTATGAGGATGAGGCTGATGATGAGGATGAGGATTGGGACCGGTGTAAACCGAAGAGTCATCAACGCTGTTGGGTTTAACCCTCCCTCCGAGCTCCCCCTCCATCGGTCGCTACAACGGTTCATTTCCATGGAGGGAACTGCCTCTTCGGAAGACAACCGTTTGAAGACCCTGAAGCATGCCAAGACATTGTTTTCGGGATTCCAACGCCACGGATTCATCAGACTGTTGCGTCTTGACAATGCTGAATCGTGCCCGAACGCCATTCCTGGGACTTCAACAGCGAAGCAACATCACTGCTGCACCCGCATAGTTCTGAATCCTGTCAACACACCGTTGCAGGCACATTGATGATGGGAATCCGTGAAGCTCTTGCAAATTTTGTAAACGAATGTGTGCGGCGCTAAAGCGAGAGCCACATTTTGAAAAGGAGCCGCCCTCAATCCGTGAAACTCTTGCAATGTTTAATAACGACTTCGCGTCGCGCTAAGGCGAGACCCACATTTTGAAAACCACCCGCCCTCAATCCGTGAAACTCTTGCATTTTTTGAACGAATGTTCGCCGCGCTAAGGCGATAGCCACATTTTGAAACCACCCGCCCTCAACCTTTGAAATGCTTGTACACTTTTCAAACGAAAATGCGGCGCATTAAGGCGAGAGCCACATTTCGGAAACGACTCCGCTCTCAATCCGTGTAAGTCCGTGTAATTCTTTTAAACGAATGTGCACCGCGCTAAGGCGAGAGCCACATTTTGAAAACGACCCGCCCTCCATCTGTGAAGCTGTTGCCATTTTCTAAGCGTCAGAGTCATACATGGTGAGAAAGTCTCAGGCGAAACGCCCGGCCCGCCCTCAAAACTGGCTTCGGGGTGCGACAGGGAGAATTTGGAAGGAAGGAAAAAGAATTGAGGATGATGAGGATGGGGAGGCTGATAATGAGGATGCTGCTGCTGCTGATGATGAGGATGATGGTGATGATGATGTTGATGGTGATGGTGCTGGTGATGGTGAAGGTGATGGTGATGGTGGTGATGATGATGCATGTGCTGATGCTGATAATGCTGATGTTGATGAATGTGGTGATGATGATGATGTTGATGATGATGAGGAAGGATGAGGAGGGATGATGAAGATGATGATGTTGGTGATGACGATGATGATAGTGATGGTAATGACGATGATGATGATGATGATGCTGATGCTGATGCTGCTGATGATGATGATGCTGAAGCTGATGATGATGCTGATGATGATGACGATAATGAGGATGAGGCTGATGAGGATGAAGATTGGGACCGGTGTAAACCGAAGAGTCATCAACGCTGTTGGTTTTAGCCCTCCCTCCGAGCTCCCTCTCCATCGGTCGCTACAACGGTTCATTTCCATGGAGGGAACTGCCTCTTCGGAAGACAACCGTTTGAAGACCCTGAAGCATGCCAAGACATTGTTTTCGGGATTCCAACGCCACGGATTTATCTGACTGTTGCGTCTTGACAACGCTGAATCGTGACCGAACGCCATTCCTGGGACTTCAACAGCGAAGCAACATCACTGCTGCACCCGCATAGTTCTGAATCCTGTCAACACACCGTTGCAGGCACATTGATGATGGGAATCCGTGAAGCTCTTGCAAATTTTGTAAACGAATGTGTGCGGCGCTAACGCGAGAGCCACATTTTGAAAAGGAGCCGCCCTCAATCCGTGAACCTGTTGCAATGTTTAGTAACGACTGCGCGTCGCGCTAAGGCGAGACCCACATTTTGAAAACCACCCGCCCTCAATCCGTGAAACTCTCGCATTTTTTTTGAACGAGTGTTCGCCGCGCTAAGGCGAGAGTCACATTTTGAAACCACCCGCCCTCAACCTTTGAACTTTGAAATGCTTGCACATTTGTTCAAACGAATGTTCGCCGCGCTAAGGCGAGAGCCACATTTTGAAACCACCCGCCCTCAACCTTTGAAATGTTTGCACATTTTTGTCAAACGAATGTTCGCCGCGCTAAGGCGAGAGCCACATTTCGAAAACGACCCGCTCTCAATCCGTGTAAGTCCGTGTAATTCTTTTAAACGAATGTGCACCGCGCTAAGGCGAGAGCCACATTTTGAAAACGACCCGCCCTCCATCTGTGAAGCTATTGCCATTTTCTCAGCGTCAGAGTCATACATGGTGAGAAAGTCTCAGGCGAAACGCCCGGCCCGCCCTCAAAACTGGCTTCGGGGTGCGACAGGGAGAAGTTGAAGGGAAGGACAAATAATTGAGGATGATGAGGATGGGGAGGCTGAGAATGAGGATGCTGCTGCTGATGATGAGGATGATGGTGATGATGATGTTGATGGTGATGGTGCTGGTGATGGTGAAGGTGATGGTGATGGTGGTGATGATGATGCATGTGCTGATGCTGATGATGCTGATGTTGATGAATGTGATGATGATGCTGATGATCATGACCATTACGATGATGACGATGATGATGATGATGATGATGATGCTGATGCTGATGATGGTGCTAAAGATGATGACGAGGATGGTGGTGGTGGTGGTGGTGATGGTGATGCTAATGTTGACGGTGATGGTGACGATGATGATGATGATGATGATGATGATGATGATGATCATGAAGATAGTGGTGGTGGTGGTGATGATTAATGGTGATGCTGCGGATGATGATGATGATGATGATGATGATGATGATGATGATGGTGAATCTGATTCAGATAACGATGATGCTGATGATCGTGGTGATGATGATGATGATGATGATGGTGATGCTGAGGATGATGCTAATGAGGATGATGATGATGATGATGATGATGATGATGATGATGATGATGATGATGATGATGACGATGACGATGACGATGACGATGACGATGACGATGATGATGATGATGATGAGGATGATGATGAGGGGATGATGATGATGATGATGATGATGATGATGATGATGATGATGATGATGATGATGATGATGATGATGATGATGATGATCGTTCGATGCCGATGATGGTGAGTGATCGTTGGATGGTGATGGTGATGCTAATGGTGATGATGATGATGAGTGGGGAGTGATGGTGATGGTGATGATGATGACTGATGATGTGAGAATTATATGATGATGATGATGATGATGATTATGATGATGATGCTGATGTACTGGCGATGGTGATGGGTGGGGTGATGGTGATGGAGTAGGAGGAAGGAGGCAGGAGGAGGAGGAGGAAAAGGAGGAGGAGGAAGGAGAAGGAGGAGGGGAGGGGAGGAGATGAGGAGGAGGAGGAGGGGAGGAGGAGGAAGTGAGAGGAGGAGGAAGGGAGGAAGAGGAGGAGGAGGAGAGGAGAGGGCGCAGGGGAGGATTAGGAGGAGAGGAGGAGGAGAATGATGATGAGGAGAGGATATAGGAGGAGGAGGAAGGGGAGGAGGAGGAGGAGGAGGAGGAGGAGGGAGGAGGAGGATGAGTAGGAGGAGGAGGGTTTCGAGGATAGAGAGCAAAGGGGGGGGGGAAGAGAGGGAGGAAGCGCCGTGGGGGGTGCAGCACATCCAGGCTCGAGAATCAGGTGCACCGCGCTGTCGCCCTCGCAACCAGTGCCCCGCGATGAGCAAGCTGAAGCTCACGGGCGAGAAGGTCTGCAACAGTGATCCCAAACACCCGGAGGTGCCGTTGCACGACTTGGGGTGCAAGGTGTGCATCTGCGGCGGCGGCGGCTTCATCGGCTCGTGGCTCGGAAAGGCCCTGAAGGATCTCGGCTACCACGTGATCGTGGCCGACTGGAAGCACAACGAGTATTTCAAGCAGGTGTCGAGGAACAACAAAAATGGCATAAACATAAACTTTTGGAGCTCCGCGCGGATTTCTTGGATCTAGGCTGGACCCCCCTGGCGAGCTCTTGGCGTCAGGGATGGGGACCCAGTGCAGATACAGAAGACTCTCGCAGACCTCTGAATGTTTTTGCTTACGCTATTTCCCTTTATGTAAGGAGGAGTACTGCCACGAGTTCAGGCTGCTGGACCTGCGGAAGTTGGAGAACTGCATCGAGGCCACCAAGGGCTGCACCCACGTCTACGCGCTTGCCGCGGACATGGGCGGCATGGGCTTCATCGAGTCCAATCAGTCTGTGCTGCTGTACAACAACACGATGGTCAGCTTCAACTGCCTGGAGTCGGCCCGTGTAAATGGAGCAAAACGCTTCTTCTATTCATCCACGGCCTGCGTTTACAACGAGGACAGGCAGCTTGACGTTACCGATCCGAAGCTTAAAGAGGAGTACGCGTGGCCTGCCAAGCCTCAGGACTCATACGGGCTCGAGAAACTGTACGCTGAAGAGATGGCTCTGACATACGGCAAGGACTTTGGCATCGCAGCGCGCATCGCGAGGTGTCGGGAAGTCTCAATGCGACTACAAAGCCAGTCCTTTCCCTTCACCTCCCTTTCACAATGAGGGACACGTGAGGCGAGGAGCAGATGTATAGAGAGGGAAAGGGGCAAAAGGAGGGAGAGGGGGAGCGCGGATAATTATTGTGGGGACGACGAGGGAGGCAACTTGTCTGGAGAGGAGGAGCCGAGGTAGGGGGGATACGGAGGGTAATGATCCCCTGTGGACTCTCCTGAGCTCGGTGAACACCAGGAACACGTTAATGATGAGGGCAATTCCGACCTAGTAGATCAGACACATCCTCCTGACCTCGTGTTGTGTCCAACGTTCTGGCCGGGTATATTTCAAGCGTTACCATCGTGAAGATATATCCATGGGAGCGTAGATCAACATATTCAGGGGAGGGACGTACATACGGGGAAGGCGGAGAGGGAGGAAGAGGTGAATGCAGGATCAAACAAGAGGATAATAATGAGGAAGAGGAGGAGGAGGAGGAGGAGGCGGAAGGACGGGGACAGGGAAGTGAGAGGGAGGAGGAGCGGGAAGGGGAGAGGGATGGAGGCGTCTCCCAACTCTCGCAACATCGGCCCACTATTATCAGTGTTCTGCCTCCGCCTTCTCACCTCACTTGATCACTTCCTCCTCACACTGGCACTCACACTCAGACTAATTTATACTCAGACTTCCTCAGTCGCAGCTTCACTCATATTGAGACTACTCACGCTGAAACTCACTCCTGTTTAGACTGACGCTAAGACCCATTGGACCCGTTCCTACTCGGACTCTCTCACGTTCACTCCTATCATACTCAGACGCACTCATACGAGCTCATATTTTCATGCTCAGACCAACTCCTGCTCATAACCCTCCTAATGGGGGGGCCGCCAAGGGGTATGACACGGGCCCGTTCGCGTCCAGACTTGTTGGACCTCTCATGTAGAATGCATGTTTTGGCCCCTCGGCGCCATTGCTCTTGAGAGCCCCATGATTACACCTTAGGCGATGCTTAAGAAAACCTAAGTTTTCGGCCAGAGTCTCGATTATTCTTAACGTTTCAATGTAAATCCTAAGATTTTGATAGAAATGTTGGGTTTTTATTCAAGTTCTGAGACCATGAATTTCTTAACCCATGATTTCTTAACCATTTCGCGTGGTGTACCGCGATGTAGCAGGCATTGCGCTCGGGGCTCCCAAAGGAGTGCCCACCGGGGGTTGCACGGGCCCGTTGCGTCCAGATGTGTGGGGCCTCTCAGGTACAATGCCCGTCTTGGCCCCTCGGAGTCCTCTCCCTTGAGGAAACAATCCTTTCCCCAATAAGTTGGTCCATTCCCTGGTGAACTGGTCCATTCCCTGGTTGCAGGTTCTTAGGATCGTGAAGCGCTCCTTAGCAGCTTTTGAGGCGCTCCGAAGCAGCTTTTAGGGCGCTCCTTAGCAGCTTTTACGGCGCTCCTTAGCAGCTTTTAAGGCGCTCCTTAAAGGCGCTCCTTGGCAGCTTTTCAGGAGCTCCTTGGAAGGCGCTGCTCAACAGCCTTTGGGGCGCTCCGTGGCAGCTTTGACGGCGCTCCTGGGCAGCTTTTCAAGCGCTCCATCGCAGTTTTTAGGGCGCCCCGTGGCAGCTTTTAAAGCTCTCCCTGGCCGTGCTTAAAAGCTTCTTGGTAGT